AATTTCAGCAGAATCGCATATGCCGTTTCAAATTTATATGGGAAAAACGATTCAAAAATTGAAACTTCAAGGCCCTCTGGAGCCCAAACGATGCAACTTTGTACTAAGGTAATTCTACTTAAATCGACTTATTTTGGTGTAGGGAATATGTGGTATGTTTTTGTGAAGACCTTTTACAGACACCCTGTATGTGTAGTAGGCAAATCAGATGATATCTTCGTTCCTCAACTTTCCGGAAAACCTAGTACCGGCTGAAAATGGAAGTTACGCTGTCACGCTGTTTGACGGCAATACGTGGAATGACTAGGCATCTCAGGAGATGACGGATTTCACTAATTGACGCCGGCATCGATACATTTTTTTATTTGGTATCGATACTGAACGATACTAATGACAGATGACATTATATTTGTCGAATGTCAACTGTCACCTTCAGTTTGGAGCTCTGATTTATGCATAGAATTCATAAGTTTTGGATATATCTATATAAAGTATGCATGAAAGAACTTGTTGTACTTTAATCAGCTTCAGAGCAATAATATTGCTCAAATGTTGGACAGCGACCCTTTTCACTTTTTGACAATTGACAATCGGTTGAATGTTCTTGGATATCATGAAATGGTATATTTATTACTATCGATATATCGAATTTTTATGCGTCTAGTATCAAATTATCGATACATACCAGCATCGATACTCATTGACCTCTATTCACCTTACGTCTCTAAGATTGTCAACTAAAAATCGGATCGATTCAAAATACAACAGAATTTAAAAAAACAGACATAAAAACTATGAATCAACTTCGTAATGAAAGACACTATACACAGGGTTCGAATGTATAGCTGCAAAAAATTTCAGGAGGAATTTCTCATCATCATTTATGGAAAAAATTTGCTTCGTTTTCGAGATCATTGATTTGATAACAAATATATTTTTGATAAGGCACTCGAAAGTTTCTCTGTATCAATTCCAATGAAACTTAGTGGTCTCGTTAAGACTAACATGGAGCTTCGTTAAGTTAATATTAATTAAGTTAGTGTAGGGACACGTGAGTCGTTTTGACCAATAAAGAATGGTTTCGACACCAAAGAATCTTGATTTTTAACACCGTCTATCTCTCTAATAATTTCAGCTGGACCCCAAATCTGACGCATCGATTAATTCAGCTTTTCAGGAAGAATCCAAAAATGCAGTGAGCTACAGAGAATTCTATTTGAAATAACAAAGTTTTTGCTACTTTTCGATGGAAGCGGCAACGTCGCAGTCCTAAAAATATTTTTGAATGATGTTTCCTTCAAAATTGTAGTTGACTTGTTCCAGTGTTTTTTGACCTACATAGCCTCTGTTTCGCGGAATGGCCACGCTGTATGAAATGTAGGTTGTTGAAATCTAGTCATTTTGGTGTATGAATTTGTGTCTCAATCAATTTGTGAGAAAAGAAAAAAAATTCTATAAAACTCCAAATTTTAAATAGGTGCTCTCAAGGCACCATTGACACCGAACCAGTATCAGTCTAAAAATTTTCAGACTCTGTCGGTAACCAACCAGACTGAATTTTGCCCCCACAAAAGCTCATACAGAGAGATCATAAAAAAATTGATACTTTCAACTTCAACATGCTGATGTATCTCAAGAATGAAGCAAGTTATGATACGTGTTTATATGAACTCATTTCCTGAAATATGACAAGAAATGGCCTCTCGAATTATTTCGCAATCATACATTCACACCCTGTATATGATATTGATTTATGAAAAATTGTTCATGTGCATGAAAAGTTCGCAAAAATAGAAGTAGAATCAGTTTTATCGATGAGTAATTCAGAGAATTTTATATCTGTTTTTTTTTCATTGATGTTTAGGATTCATCACACAATCACATCCACAACATAGAGTTATCAACAGAAAGATGTACACACACCATGAAACAGTTGTTAGCATTATTGCAATAGAAAAATCATATCCTTAAACATGCAAAAATAAAATAAACTAACAATATTCGTGAGCGAAATGGTTGAATTAACTAAAAAATGTATGTATTGAATTATTTCAGATTTATATTGTCGAAGTTTAATGGCAATGATGATATTTTGGTTCAAACATTTGTTTTTCCTTCGATTAAATGCGGAAAAAAATTACACTAAACTTTGTTATGGGATTAATGATTTTTGGAACGTTAAATTTGAAAGGGATTTGTAGTGAAGAAGCACTAGCTGATCCAAATGAAGAAATTTCTCCACATCAGAGATGATTTAGGAAAAAAATCAACAGATGAAGTTTATATATGGATTCAGTATCGAAAAAAGTGCAGTATAGTGTTCAAAGCATTAGGTATTAGTGAGTATAGTAGATGTCAGATTATGAAATTTTGTGTTTCATTTGGAATAGTTTCGGAAAAAGATGAAGTTCCTAAAATAGCATTTTGAAAAGAGTCATCCCTTGAAAAGGAATATTCTTAGATGAATTATGAACATTGAAAAAATTAATATAAAGAAATATATTGAGAACTCGCATTCTCTGTGATGAAAATATCGATTCGTTCTCGATTAACTTCAACAGAAAACAACCACTTTCCTGGCTATATGCCACGACGAACATTGAATTATATCTATTGAACACACACGATAGGAATTCGGAAACAAAATCTCCTATCGTGTGTTTTCAATAGATTGTCGTGCCATATAGCCAGGAAAGTAGGTAGTTGTTTTCTGTTGAGAAAAAACGAGAGAGAATTTATATTCTCATCACATAGAGAATGCGAATTCTACTTTATATATATATAAATTTTCTTATGTTAATAATTTATCTGAGAATATTCCTTCTGAATACTTTCACCCAAACAAGGGGTTTAAACTTGAACGATGAAAACTTGTTATTTTTCAGATTTTTTCCACGTCCTGTATGATGAATATCAATTTGACGTACATTCAAAAACAAAGAAAATACCCAATCGTGAATTTTATAACCTGACAATCTAGAAGAAGAAGCTGCTTGGCTATTTACAGAAAGCTGTTATAATGAAAGCTCATCAGAAGATTAGAAGGCGTTAGTACAAAAAAATGTCGTTTTCCAGCCCACCAAATGATTCATTTTCTGTCTCTCTTCTGAACGAATATCGGGGCAATGTTAGTTTTCTGTTAGTTTTTTAGATGCTTAAGCGGTTTTGCACCAAAGCAAGTTGCACATTTATCTGTGTATGTTATCGTTGTTAGTGTAAGTTATTGTACAAAGATTTCACACAAAATGACAACACAATTCACAATATTTGGAGATTTTCATAACTAAATGGGTTTCATCCCAAGTGCAATGCAGCTGAACACTCAGATTTAAATTATAGAATAAGTAATCGAGAATACCGATTGTATTTTCAATCCATATCGTTGAATATTATTAATATCACCGATGAAAACACTATTTACCACTACTTGAAGTTATACTAGAACAACAGAAACTTGTTCATATACAACCAGATTGTATCAAAAATTGATGAAAATATCAGATATGACCTATCAAGAATAAAAAGTTTCAATTGCATAGTACTTCAGTTGCCATTTTGTATAAGCAAAAAGGGACATTAGTAACTGGGGGTTAGGGTAAGAGGTTGAAAAACAATCGAATACAGGGTGGAGACTTCAACTGGAATTAATACGCTACTGGGGGAGTGAACGATTTTACTGAAAATTCGCGAGAAACGTCAACGTTTGAATGTATATATACCTTCATTTGGTCCATCAGGGGTAGCTGGAATCAACCCATACATGTTTTTTTCAAATGCAACCCTAGGGTTTACGATCCCTCATTGGAAAGCTGGTTGAAAGAGAAGTTTAGGGTACTGATCATTTTTCAGTTTGCGGTACATTTGGGGGTCGCAAAAAATCAAAATATAATTTCAAAGTTGGATATATTGTCAACGCATTTTCATCAAAATATCGACTTTTAGTTTGCGATAACACTTTGTTTCAAACTGTGAATACGGCAAAAAAACTAAATTTCTTCTTGCGGCTCTATAAAAACACTAGCATACAATAGCAGAAAAAAAATGCCATCAATTGTTCAACACTCATTTTGAGCGATTGATACGATTGTAAAAACGTAGGCAAATACGTTGAATTGTTGACATATCTCGGGAATTTTTAGAAATAATATTCACCTCCTCGCTAAAGAATTCCTTCCAGTTAAAATCTCCTCACTGTATATAAAATAAGGCAAACAAAACACTACAGGGCGTTTTTCACTGAAGAAAACGCTCAAGAACTAAAAAAAAAATCTATCTCGTTTAACCGAATTGCAAACTCCATGAGAATGTGGCATATCAAACTCGTAGGGGATACATGGTATAAACTTGTATAATCATCATTTTACTGATAAAAAACGTTTTGTACTCACCTATGGACCTGTAAACGAAAAAAAACGCGATTTTTCACCCGATTACCGTATACGACCTTTAGACGAAAAAAATACGCGACGTACTGACTAGGAAATATCTGAATCCGATCAGTACCTAATCTCATTAAAGAAACCATATAACGACAATTTAATAATGAAGTCATGCATAAGTATGTCTCAGGTTTTCTGTGGACTAGATAAATCAATAAGATATCCTGATCGTATTACCTAAGAAAATTCCCACTAGCAATCAAGGTTACTTCCAAAACATATATGTTCTTGAGCTATATACATATACTTCTATAACGATGTTTATATGTATAAAAGTTATTACCTACTCTCTTGTATGAGTTTTCATAAATATGCGATCACGCTGTCAAAAGGAGCTATCCGAGCCAACAAGGATTTGGCACCTATCTATCAATTTTATCTCAGTCGCTGATCGAGAATGATATGCCACATTCAGTGAATAGAATACCCCTCGGTATATTCGGTTTGACCGCATGATGAGAGTTTATCTCGAAATTTTGGGTATTCTAGACACGTGTTCCTACTAAAAAAGCTCTCAGAGAAAAATCCAAGCGGTACGTAAATTTTGTTCAAACACTCACCGTGTATTGTGGTTCCTTGTTCTGTTCGTATCAGGAAATCTGCGGGGCTTGGAGGTGGTGTTTTGGAGAACATCGGTGATTTGGGATCTGCAAATCGACAAAAATGGTCTTCAGATTCATAAAAATAGGGCAAAGGAATTCCACATATTTGCATAATTATACTATCATCAACAATATATTTCCCTATTCTTGATTTAGAGCAATACATATTCAGTGAGGAGTTCTTAAATTGAATCTATATTTATATATCGAAGACTGGAACCTTGCACGATAATACACTACACTCGACAGTTTTAATCTTCTCCTGAAGATGCTAACATAGTTAGCGAAACACGTGTCGAGGCGTTAAAAAATCGGTTTGGTTAGTGGTAAAACAGTGTAGTGTGAATCTATATCGCTAATCCTAGAGTGCTAATTCGAATGTTGAAGCTGATTCGGGATCTGGAAATCGACAAGAATGGTCTTGAGATTCATAAAAATAGGGCAAAGGAGTTTTACATATTTGCATAATTATACTATCGTCAACAATATATTTTCCTATTGTTAATTTAGAGCAATGCATATTCAGTGAGGAGTACTTAAATTGAATCTATATATTGCTAATCCTAGAGTGCTAATTCGAATGTTGAAGCTGATTCGGGATCTGGAAATCGACAAGAATGGTCTTGAGATTCATAAAAATAGGGCAGAGGAGTTTTACAGATTTGCATAATTATACTATCGTCAACAATATATTTTCCAATTGTTAATTTAGAGCAATGCATATTCAGTGAGAAGTACTTGAATTGAATCCATATTGCTAATCCTAGAGTGCTTATTTCGAATGTTCATATTGTTCAGTGGGTCTTAGGAAAAAATCTGAACTTTCTTCAGAGCCATGATAACTCGAATTCTGTTTCACCATTGACTTTTTTGGGTCGAAAAACCGCCTAAGGTCCCGGGAAGAAATCCTAACTTTTTTCATGGCAAAAATAACTCAATTCTGTGTTTGCCATCGCTTTTTTTGGGTCGAAGAACTGCCTAATTAGGTCACGAAATCGGAATTGAAGTGTCATCTCGACAGATGACGGACATTCAGATTTCAGTTCGAGTTATTGATCAGTGGGTCCTACGAAGAAATCCAAACTTTTTTCATAGCAGAAACAGTTCAATTCTGTTTCCACTATTGCCTTTTTGGGGTCGAAAAACCGCCTAATTAAGTAATTGAATCAGAATTGAAGTGTCATCTCAACAGATGACAAACATTCAAATTTCAGTTCAAGACATTGATTAGTGGGTCCTTCGAAGAAATCCAAACTGTTTTCATAGCAAAAATAGCTCAATTCTGTTTCCACAATTGCCTTTTTCAGGTCGATAAACCGCCTATTTAGATCAAGAAATCGAAATTGGAGCGCCATCTCGACAGATGACGAACATTAAGATTTCAGTTCAAGACATTGATGAGTGGGTCCTACGAAGAAATCCAAACTTTTTTTATAGCAAAAATATCTCAATTCTGTGTTCACCATTGCCTTTTTTGGTACGAAAAACCGCCTTCTTAGGTCACGAAATCGAAATTGAAGTGTCATCTCTACAGATGACGAACATTCAGATTTCAGTTCAAGTTATTGATCGGTGGGTCCCACGAAGAAATCCAAACTTTTTTCATAGCAGAAATAGCTCTATTCTGTTTTCACCATTGCATTTTCTGAGTCGAAAAACCGCCTAATCAGGTCACGGAATCAAAATTGAAGTGTCATCTCGACAGATGACGACATTCAGAAGTTATTGATCGGTGCGTCCTACGAAGAAATCCAAACTTTTATCATAGCAAAAATAGCTCAATTCTGTTTCCACCATCGTTTTTTTTTGTCGAAAAACCGCCTTATTAGGTCACGAAATCAAAATTGGAGCGTTATCTCGACAGATGAAGAACATTTATTTTAGATTTCACTTCGAGGCATTGATCAGTGGGTCCTAGGAAGAAATCCAGTTTCAGAGCAAAAATAGCTCAATTCTGTTTTTACCATTGCTTTCACTGGGTCGAATGAACCGCCCAATCAGGTCACGAAATCAAAATTGTCGAAAGTGTCCTGGACAGAAATGGTAAACTCTGGATGGCAACGCCGTATGAAGAGTACTATGGTTTGCAAAAGCTGTGGATGTGTTCAGAAGCTCAAAAAACGACAAAACGCAAAGCGATATTTCTTCGCTTGATGTTCCTCACCTTCTTCTGCGATCAACTTCGTCATGACCCTGCTCTTCTCCAGGCTCTGTGTGACTCCTTCAAGCAGTTCGGCGTCTTCGGCGGTCTTGTGACTGATGCGTGTCACTTCGGAGTCGCGCACTCTCGAGTCGGATGGCAAAGTGGTTTTTATCTCTACCGTGCGCGAAACCGTTTTTGTGAAGTCGGGCGAAACCGTTTTGGCGTCGGGCGAAACCGTTTTCGCCTCGGGCGCCACCGTTTTGACCAAAGTGGTTTTCGTTTGCTCCTCGGTGGTTTTAACTTTTTGCTGCACCTCGGCGATTTTGTCCTCCACCAGGCTCTGTTGTTTGATCGTGGTGATTTCTTGGACGATTTCTCGTCGTTGTGTTGAGGCGGGGATTGTTCTGTCCGAAGATAGGCGTTTTTCTATTTTTTCTCGACGCTCTGCTACTGGTTTTTCGAAGGTTTCCTCTTCTTCTTCGTCAGATTTTTCTACTACCTTTTCTTCGGCTGAGTATTTGTCGTACGATTCTAACTTCTTCTTGCCTGAAAATAAATGAATAGTAGTTTGTGAAACTTAAAGGAACACACTTCTATAGATAGCCAAACTGAAAAAAGTGGAATATAAAATGATAAAAGTATGTTGATAAATATAAAACATAGAAAATATCAGCACCTCTGTTATCAGTAAAGTTTATGTTGTGTTTCCATCAACTCACTTTTATCACTTCATTTCCTACTTCTCTTCAGTTTGGCTATTCAAAAAGGTGTGTTTCTCTTCTTTTTCACTACTTTTTCTTCTATGCTTTAGTTAGGCTGACTACAAAGCTTGTTTTTTCATTTTTTTTATATATTTTTCGTAAGTACCCAATTGTGACAAATGAATCAAAATATTCAACCCCGAAAACACCCAGACAAAAATTTTGAATAAATTCGGATCATTATCACAAAACTCGTTCGCCATATTTGATCCCCTATCTCGAAATTCCCGATTTTGAATAGAATCGGATCCTAAATACAAAACTCGTCTGCCATATTGGATCCTCCATATGTCGATTTTGATGAAAGGATTATAATATCCGAGCCCATAAACCCCCAGAAATCAATTTGGAATGGAATTGGATCATAAATTACGAAACTCGTCTGCCATATTGGCTCTGCCATTTCGAATCCCCAAATTTTGACGAAGGAATCATAATCTCGGACCCCGAAAACCCCAAGATACCAATTTTGAATAGAATCGGATTATAACTACAGAAGTTGTCCGTCATTTTGGAGACGCCATTTCGTTTTCTCATCTAACAAATGCCATGAAACATTGTCACTAGAATTATTTATGTAACTGGATCAAAATCACGTTCGAATATTTCGTTACAAACAAACAAACATACATACATTTCAAGCAAATATAAGCGTTTCAATAAAATTCAGACATTCAGTCAGAGACCTGCAACTCTTGGGTGATTAAGCAACACCTTGTAGCATTTTGAGTGACTTACCCTCTTGCCTATCTGCTATCAATCTCAATGCTACATCTTCCGTCACAGCACCTTTATCTAAACTATCTACATCTTTTTCTTTTTTCAGTCTGTATTTTCCTATCTCCTCGTGTTTTATCCTAGTTATCGTTCGACTACCTTGGTCGACATTCAGGCACTGGGGTATTATATCTTCTCTTCCTATCCTTCTCAAGGCGTTCTCGAGAGTATTCGTTTTAGCCTTATTACCAGACTGCGACAACCACATCCTGCAACAACAATTAATCGTTATGAGGTTCCCTAAACCCATCATCATCGCATCCTTACCTCAACATGCTTTGTGCTTGTTTGGCGACGCTGTCTGGATACTCGGACTTGATGACGTTTATCTCGGAGGGTGTGAGGCCCAGCTGATTGGCCAGGGGTACCCAATGATCGCCCAACAGGTTGCTCATATCGGCCAATCTCGGATCGGGTCGGTAGTAGTCGAAATTCTCCGAAAGGAGAGTGCTTTTACTGTCAAGGTCGCTCAGCGATATGGTATCGGTGACGATGTCGTCAGGTAGAACGATGTTGAGAATGCAGATGGGTTGCTGTGGCTGGTCTCCCTTAGGTACCTGTAAAGATAAACCCATGACTTAACACTGATTCGTCCGAGGTGATGCCTCATCTACTAGAGTAGGTATAGCGACGGCTTGGCCAGACGGTAACAGATCATTTGATCCATGGCCTCCCGTGTACATGACGTCACTGACAACACGCGATATTTGCGAGAGGAAATTCTGCCTGCATTGATTGCCACGCAGAAATCCTTGCGAAGGTCAACTTTCTTTTATGATGTTCTCGAGTAGTTTCTCGAAAAATATACTTTCTGGGAAGAAGGTTTAATTAGGCCGAGCTAGGTTAGTTTGTTCAGAAAAAGTTGTCTCCCTGTTCTCTCAAATAATTTTCCGACATATATTCATTCCAGAAAGGTTCACGAGAAAAACTCAGAGTCGTCCCCACAAGTTTAATGGCAAAAGAGAAATCAATTATGCTTCATTACTCTTGAGAAATGAGACGTGTTTCGATCATCCAAATGGTCATCATCAGTGATTTCACGACAAAGTTGATGTGCAATTGGCTTGAACATCATGAGAAAGTTATGTAGTCAGGAGTACATCATTAATTTAAGGATTTTGAAAATGTTATTTCAGATAGATGTTTTGAAGTGAGGCAGAACCAATTACACCAAAAATGCAGCGGCATCGGCATTTGAGAACAAAACGTTTGAATTTTTGGAGTTATTGGCTCTGCCTTTCCCCAAAAAAATATATCAAAAATAACATTGTTTTAAATTTTTTAATTGGTGATGCCCACCTAACTACATAATTTTCTCGTCTTGATGATGATGATGTTTATTGAATGGTCGAAACATGTCTCATTCTTCAAAGTAATGAAACAGAATTGACTGCTCCTTTGCCAATAAACCTGTGGAGACGACATTGAGTTCTTCTCGTCCCCTGATTGATGATATTTCTTGAATATTTCCGAAACTTTCATGTTATAAAATGATGCTGAACGTAGTGAAAATAAAATCATTCCTAAATTCCATTCAGGAGTATATAATACAGGGTAGAACTACAATAAATATCGCTCAAACTTTTTTGTGTGCATATGTCTTGACAGTTCAATCTCAGATTATGAAGATCCACATCTCTTTACGAAAAAAAATTGCTCCTCTTCCGTTTCGAACAGATGTATCATTTTCTCTCATCAAAACACCTCTTAATGAAATTTTGGAATGATCTTATTTTCACTGCATTGGGCATGGAGAGTACAGTTCTTATACCGAATTGCATAATTCCATCACAGGACGCTTCGGAAATATTGAAGAAATATGTTTTCAAGACTTATGTTCATTTGAACCTGTTTGATTTTTTTTCCCTTTTTTCGATCGTAGAAACTGCTGGTGATGATAAGCAAGCTAATTTTGGGACACCCTGTATAGAAGTAATTTTCGTGAATTGATCACCAGCTGACATAGTTCAACTCATGACGCTTGGCGAGCCAAAAACAGTCTGTATAAATCTTTTTTGTATTTTATTTTGATCAATGTTAGTAGAGAATGAATAGTAGGGGTCCAGGGACTAAGCCTCGGCAGGGGGTTGTCGCTTTCATCTTATTAAATTGTGTTTATTGGATTACACATTACAATATTGAATTTAAATTTGATGTTCCGTGTAAGGTCACTTCCAGGGATGTGGTATTTGTATAATTTATCTGATATTTTGCTGTCTTGGAGGAAGGAACACTACTTTAATGACTAAGACGCTTCTTGCAAATCAAACTACAAAACAATTATATACGCTCTTGACTTGCCACCGTGGTAATATTTCCCGTATAGTAGTGCTATGGCTAGGGTCTATAATGACACTTACTTTGGACTCCTTCATGAAGAGACACCTGCTGACCGCTTCGGCGTGCTGGTCTTTAACTCGAACGCTGAACGGCAGCCGATTCTCCCTGAACGCTCTGAAAGAGAACGTCAATTGCTCCCCACTCTTCGTCACCGGTACCAGATTCCCGGCGAACTCCACGTACTGCTGCTTCCCCTCCAACACCTCCACGTCTCTGCTTTTCGCCACCTCAGTGAAGTGCTCTTGATGTTCCAGCGTTTTGTCCTCCTTGTCATCTGTCATGCAGAAAACGCGTAGGCGCGCTTCTAGAGGGTCCACTCGCTTCGCGAACACCACGAATTTGGCCATGAATGGCACATGTATGGCTTCCCTAAAGAAAACATAACCGGGTGGTCAATTCAAGACTATCCATGCACCCTTGATAACTCTCAGAAAAATGACGAAACACGTCGGTTTCTATTTGGAGGGGGACACAAAAGAGATAAATCATACTTCAACTCTCTATTTTCCTTTCATAATTCAAATAGGAGCTAAGGGTCATGTTATACATCATTGCAAATGTAATTCAATTCTGACAGGGCAAAGTTTTTTTGAATTTCAACAAGCTGTTTGTTCTTTAATTGTGAGTAAATGAATGCACGGAATAAATTATTGAATGGTTATTCACAACAAATATTAAAAATGACCTCCATCGACTCCTAGACAGTGGTAGAGTCTATTTGCAACATTTGAAAATTTTTCACTACTTATTCCCTGGCATTCAATCCTCATTCCTATTTTCAAATCGTTTTTTTTATGTTCTGGTTCACACGAAGAGGGATATTCTGTAATGTTCAGAGAACATCGTGAGAACCAAGGAAAATAAGGTAGGAATTGGTGTTCTTCTTGAATTTCTGGAGGTTATATTCCTCGGGGAACACCTCCCTTGGCAGTGTGTTCCAGAGCCTCGCTGTTCGTTGGAACGGGTCTTCAGAAAGAGATGTTCTGCAGGTCTCCAAAGTGACCACGAAGGGGTGCGATGCCTCAACTCACGCACTTTTAGCAATTGATCTCACGTGATTTTCCCAAAGTTATTGCTGATAGTAATACCATAGTATTGAAACGGATGTCTCCAAAGGTATGGTTACTCCTGACAAGCTTATGTTGGGTACAGTGAGATCGGCTTATCTAGAGAAAAGGCATGCTTGTCATATCAGTAGATTTAATGAATAACTCATTTCTAATGCTCCAGAAAAATCATTGGACCATGTCTAACGAGCTTGCTGGCCATTTTATTGGTCCTCCACCTGTAATACGGAAGGTGATGACACAGAATCTTGTTGAAAATGTTTATTATCTGCCAATAGATTTTGATTAATCATCGAGGTGCATTCTTCCATCCCAAATATAATAGCCAGCACGTTTGCCGGACTTGGCACCCAATGATCTCATTCTATTTTGTAGTTTGGAATCCCTCATATATAAAACAATACCTACTGACCTTGACTATTTGGAAAGAAGAATAAGAATTGGATGCCAGACGAAAACAAGATGAATATCAAATGTGCAAGATGAATTTGCAAATAGTATTCATCACTTTCTGGGGAGAATGAAGGTAAACTTGAACATATATTGTAGATACTCATTCAATAATTCATTCTTCACATTCATTTAACGACAATCAAAGAACATTCCTTTCGAACTCGAATAATTAATTTCGAGAACGCCTTGTTGAAATCCATAAAACAGTGCACTGCTAGTGTCAGAAAAAAATAACTTTCGCAATAATGTATAACACGACCCTCATTCCCAATTGAAATTATTGAGGAGGTTTCTAAGAGGAGCAGAGGGTTGAAGTATGTATAATTCATTTCGCTTCAAACGGTGTCCTTCTCCAAATAATAATTGACGTATTTCGTTTTTTTCTGTGAGTTATGGAGGGTGGATAGTATTGCGTAAATCGAAAGCTGAAGTGGGCCCAAGACTGAACCTTGCGGTACACAACTCGATTAGACTCACTTGTATAGTTCTGTTGCCATTTTGGTGGCGTCTGAGATATTTCGACAGTCCATGAGCCAAAATCTAGCCGATACTGTGGTGGTGAAGGAAACACAATCGTTGACGAAGGTGAGAGGTGTTGAACCAGTGACATCTTCCCATTGTGCTCTTGTTGTACCACCTATTCAGAAAACGCCAGAATTTGAATAGTTTCGAAGAAAATCGTTCACTAAGTGTGTCATGCTTCATTCCGTTTATACACTCACCGGCAAAAAAAACCGGCCACTAAAAAGTTTTGCCAAATTGTTCGTCATGTAAGTTTTTTAATTCTTCTCCGATTTCGATGAAATTTCGACCAGATCGTATATACACGTTTCGGAATGTTAGCCTGGATATAAGGTCCTAGGAAAACCTGATGGCTTGATCATTATACAGGGAGGAACGAAAGTGACTCTTTCATCCTTAATTTCTCAACGCCCTGTGGCAAAGGTGGGTGGTTGAACTGAGCTTCATCATGTTTTGGATTAAAGTGTGATTCTTTCTTAACACAATGGTTTTCGATTCTCGTCAATAACCCATTTTTAAGAAAAGATACGAGTGTTTTAAGAAAGTATGTTTTTTTTTCTATTCTTATTAACAATAATTCAGAACCATTCTCCAGCTTTCTGCATTATCATGTTTTGAATTGAAGTGTGATTCTTTTTCGTCCCTTCTTAACACAATGGTTCGAGATTGAGATCAATATCTCCTTTTTAAGAGAAGATACAAGTCTTTTAGGAAAGTATGGATTTTCATCAACAATAATTCAGAACATATAGATCATCTTGGGGGATGAACTCCAGAGGCTCATCCGCCTCAGTTTGGGCCATATCAGAGACTCTTCAAGAGTTATGATTTGCCCTTCAAGGAGATTTTTAGGCAATTCTTCAATACTACCTTAGAAAGATCAACTCGATGCCACGGCGGTTGAATGCCTCGTTGAATGACTCGTTATCGACTATATACAGTTCTTCAATCCGGAGCATAATGAAACCAAGTTCAACCACTCAATTTTGACACAGGGTGTTAAGAAATAATGGATGAAATAGTGACTTTGATTTTTCCATGTATAAAGTTCAAGTCATCAGCTTTTTACTCGAATTAATATTCAGCCTAACATTCCGAAACATAAATCTACGATGTGATCGAAATTTCACAAGAATCGGACAAGGATTGAAAAAGTTACAGGGTGAACAATTCTGGCAATTTTTTTGGTGGCCGGTTTTTTTTTGCCAGTGAGTTTATTTACCAAAATGTACTCCAAAGGAAACAAAGATCAACCCTGAGTTTTGTCGTGGAAATATATAAATACAAACTAGTCATCCCTTCAAGTGCATTTTTTGGAGTCTCATATTCTGATTGTTATTGACATGAAAAGGTTTTAGTTCGCAAGCAAAATTTGTAGGAATATGATTGATAATATCCTTCGGAGTCAAGTCGAACCCATTAAATGACAGGTTAGGTTACAGTCACGAAGAGTTGTACTGTTGAAATCTATGAAGCTGAGAGCACAAACTAGCACACAATCTTTCTGAGTGTAAGATATCTTCAAATACGATTGACGTTATACCAACAAAACCGTTCAAGGTCATGAATTGAAGGCATATTCTGAGCGTATCCTATGACAGATGTGACATTGTTTGGAACGGACACAACTTGACAGAATATCAGTTGAACAACATTCCTGATCTGCTAGTAGTTCAAGATGGGACTTCAAATATATATTCCTTCGGGAAGTGAACTTTTATCAATCTCTTATTTTAGTCACGATCTATCATTATTGCCTTTGTTTCAAGTGAGCTCTTAAAAAGGAAGAAATTCTCATGAGTTGAAGTCAAACGGGTAAGATGCAGAACAGTCAGTACAGAGATGTATAGAAATTTAACTGGTGCGCTTGCTCCCTATTGAAGGTCGTTGGCAAGTTTCTCGATGGCGCCTACTCTGATAAACCTTTGATAAACATACTTGACGTGAGTAAATCTCGCTAAGCTCATCCTGGTTACAATCCATATTTACAGGAAACATAGGTATTACCGACCGATAAATATTTGGATACGTATATGATTTGGATCAGAGCAGAGAACTGATTCCTGATCAAAGGATCGAAACGTCAATATGACAAAAATATTCTTGAGCTGAAAAAATGTTTTTTTTTCTGATATTGGGGTCAAGTGTTCGTTAGGGACGTGTTCCGTAGTTTCTAAATTTTGTGTATAATACCTTATCCACCATAAAAAAAATCTCTGTTCTACAACAGTATCATTTCAGTGATTTGAAATATTAGCGTGAACTGGTGTGAATAAATTCTAAGGTGAGTACCAGTTACCATATCTGCCTATTATGATTTTCGATATTGGTCTATTTCAATAGTTGATACATTCTCTGTTCTGGTTCTTCGAAGAGGAAATTCATCAGAATTCATGCTTTGAATAGGTTCATTTCATGAAAGACGTGAAGCTTATTGAAATCGGCTACAAAAAAGATTTCTTGCTCCTCTTTCAAATTGAAATTTGAATGAAAATGTTGAGCACAGTATTTATTCGACCACAGAACAATGATGGAAATAGATTCATTCCTCACCGAACCAAGGTTTTGAACGATATTCCGATTATGGCGCCTCTATCGCAAATACCTGAACCCCACGTCCAAAACTCGCTTGCAATTGTTCCATATCGAGAGTTAGTCTGACGAAACAATTGAAGAGTGAGCCCACCAGTTACATTTCTATACATCTCTGTCAGTACATTTGGCGTTCATGCTTAGTTGCTAGGCAACCCCAGTACAACCCATCGTGAATCTTAGAAAAGGTGAAGCAAATGCAATGGTGAAGCAGCAAAAAGCAAAGCATTCAATTGAGAACTGTTTCAGAAAAGATCAGTCGGTAGGCAACTAACTTTTAGTACTGTGAATTCAGATTTGTTTCATGTGAAAAACTCACTCTGAAATTTCGAAGCGACTGATCTGACAGTACAGGGTAAAACTAAAAGTTAAAAAACAAATGCAGCAAATCTATAAGGTGTAATAATATTGCAATTTGTGTTTTCGTGATTTTTTTCTTCAGATTTTATATTCATAGTAACACAAAAGTAACGACTAGAGGCAAAAGAAAACATATGATTCGAATAAAATCCAAGTTTCGAAGTGAAAATACACAGTTTGAGGATTATTTACAAAGTCCAAATCATCGTCATGCTCAGATGAAATAGCAAATTTTAAACGATCAAATGACTGAGTTCCAGATACAAGCACATTTTTTATGCAGATATTTAGGGAAACTCAACATTGAATGACAAAATATAAATCACAGATACATAAAACATATGTAAAACCCATTCATCCTTGCTTCCCAATTCAACCAAGAAACAATGAAATCATACATTGAAATCTGAAAATTGATATTCTCAAATTCCGAATTATCTTGAGGTAAAAAAATGTCGGTATCAGGAGTTGATCGTAATTTACAAAAAAAGAAATATACCGCGTGACTCTGGATATAGGGTCAGCCATGTAACTTCTGTATTCCTGAATGGATTTCAATGAAATTTGGCACAGCAACTATTCAATTTGATCACATTACAATCCAATATGGCAAACTTCCGGTTTCATTGAAAATGTCAGTAATTTTGTTTTTCAAAGTGAACACCTTGTATATTTTCACATATTCTAATTGAACAGGTCAAGACAAGTGCAATATTCATGTCAGATGTAATTTTTTCGAAAATGTTGAAATTAAATTGTTACTTTATTAATTATATTAATGTAAAGAAATATGATTTCTTCTGGAAAATAGTTTTTGTGTCACTTATCAATGATAGGAAAAATGACATTTTTGTATTCCGGTACAGTAGCAAATCGTATACATTTGAAAATCAACAACTAGTTGAAGAAGTTCCTTGCAGTTCGAATAATTCAAATTCTTTCGAAAAAATGACATTTGACATGACGTTTGCAGTCCACCATATTATTGGATTGTAATGTGATAAAATCCGACATGGTTCCTTATATAACTGTATCAAATTCCAGAAAAATCCATTTACAAAGACAGGGCTCACTCGGTATACGTGTTTAAACATTAACTTAGTCTGCATCAACATTCTGGGAGGCATTTCAAAAATCCCCTATTATATGTATCCACTTATTGGTGAATATCGATTTCAACTGCGTACATTCATTTCTCACATATCTAACAAAAATCAAATCAAATTATCAAGAAAGACATTCTATAAGGGGGCAGCTCATAAAATTTGAAATTTTAGTTAGTTACCTTTGAGAGATCTTTTCCGATACACCCCTGTGTCGCGCCAAAATCGAAATTACTCTCATTAGTTATCTGGTCAACAAACAAAATTATGCGAAAGAAAAACTTCAAATTTCAGGATGTGAACGGGCATTTCTTGTCATTTTTCTTTCGGCTTTTTTTATACTATTTTTCATTGCCTGAAGTCACAGTAAGGAAAGCATTCTGTTTTGAAAACACAAAGCGCGAGGCTGGCAAACTATGACACAATCATATTACTCAATTCCAAATCATTTCATCAATAAACTTTGAACCAAGTAGGGCATGAGTAATTTCCTGTTCATGTCGTCTCTTTTATAATCATGTACCCTAACTTCATGTTCATTTTTTTTCCTATTCTTGAAAGCATATTTACATGCTCGATGAACTAACCTAAATCAAAACTAGTCTAAGTCAAAAATGATCTGATCACATCTACTTCTATCAGTTCTATCTACATTTTGATTCTACCGCTTTGAAGAAGGCTTGCCAACCTCCAAACAACGAAACAAGTGACAAAGATACATAGGGCACAACACAACACCAAGACATTATGGTTAAAAAAAAGATCATAATATATGAGCATGAGATAGATCGAATTAGTTATCTGGAGGATTTTATTCACAGTTGAAAAAATATTCGGACTTCTTTCGATGTGGGGTAATCAATGTTCATAGCCAAAATTGAGCTAAAATATAAGAACATCAAGTGATAACTCGAAAAATTATTACTTACATCAATCTTATATCACATTATCGTTTCCCCAGAGATCTGTTGATGTTTTGTATAATTATAAAAATTCACGATATGTCATATTCAAAAAACGCGGGGAAACTTATGACGAAATCACCTGCGAATAATCCAACGCAACCATATAAGATTCGACTTACGTATCCATTCTCCATTTCTGTAAGACAAGTGCAAGAATATTCCTGATTGTCATTTCTATCCGAATATGGATTATCTGGACTGAATACTCACTGCAGATAGCAGAAAACCGAAGACACAACTGATGAATCAGATAATCTTAGGATTACCTTCAAATATTCGCAGTATTCGAAAGACTAGATGACAAATTTTGAAGATGAAAGCTTAACATCTGTTGGTTCAGACTACAGGAACTCGAAAATTCCGAATCTTTTATCACGATGGATATTTTCAAGTGGCTAGCAGTGTATTCTCTTTCAGGTACTGCCACGCCCACATGTCGCGGTCGAATAAGCTGATCAACAAATGAAGTATTGGAATAATTCGTTTTAGTTGTGTCTCTCTCGTGGACCCAAGTTTTGAAATGAATTTCACGATTGACAGCTTAGTAGCTTAGTAGCTTAATGTGAAACGATTCGAAAAGTTAATGTTCGCGGTATAGCGCCTGTTTCTAATGGAACGTTAGCCCGAATTTAGTTGGGCACTCATGTATACAAAGAAGATCAGTGCAAGAAAGCTAGTGAACCTATATTCATGAAATAAGATATAGATTCGTTGGTAATATGAAATTAATTTGGAACACACTGAGGTATGTAATTTTTTTCACAAAGTGAAATAATAATTCAAATAAAATCATCAATCGAATACCTTCCAATTCCATATGTTTTATAGAATTTTTCGGTCGATTTAAAGGTGCTTAAAGCATCAATAATGCGGACGTCACAATTTCGTAAGTAGGCGCAGACCATATAGCACAGTTGCCATATGTTGATATTCCTAATTATTGCTTAAAATGAATTTGTATGAATAATGTTTATATCAATTAAGACTATAGGGCGATGTCTTCTCAGTTCTCAGCATTCACCACATGTTGCCTACTCTTCAACATTTACATGACATTGTTATGGAGTATAAGAAATATTTGGACATGCTGGTTGCTCGAAAAAGTCGAAAATGAACTATAATATCATGGCTTCTTACTATTATAACTGCGATTGAGCTCTGAATCATTTCTTTCATATACGTTATTATGTATCAACATTGATCACCCCACTTATGAACTTTCGGGATCAGGGTTGACTTTTCTCACCTGTTATGGAGCACAGCAGCCTAAGGGTAGGCGCAGACCCCGAATACTGGTTGATCATCCCTTGCGAGTGCGCTCTGGGTGCCGGCATACTCAGGGTGATAGCTTTGTGGAACTTTCTTCTTCTCGGCTCGACTGTGACTACTGGAGACACGGCAACGCTGTGCCCTAGCAGTTTGGCCGTCAGCTCAGGGTCGATTGGCTGAGCCTACGGAGAATAGGGTAGTCGTAGGCGAGGCATTATCGCTCATTCAAGTGGGAATAATACCCTCAGGGGAGATATCTGGGTTTTTATCTTCTTCCAGCTTTTGTTGAAGATATCCCAGAACTCTGATTCTATTTGTTTTCACCCCCTCAGAAAGAGGTTCACAGCCTTGGAGTTGTGATTTGAAGATCACAGGGAAAAAAGGGGTATGTCACAATATAGTGGAAATTGACCTGACTCCGCCATCTGATAGCCAAACCACTATATTTCAGTGTAAACAGAAGTCCATAGCAATAACGCAGCATAGTCAGCTAATCAGCTCGTTCGAAAAAAAGGTTAACATGGAAAAAACTCGGAATGTCTACTTCAAAAATGTGAAGAAAGCGGAACGTCCAAGCTTAGTGCTTGTTTGAATGTAGATTTCATTGTGATTTCAACAGGTTGTAACAAAATATGAGAAAAAAATGAGATACGGACACCTTTTTATCATCTCTTGGAGCGTATGAAAGGGAATCTCTATAATGTTCGGGGAACATCGTGGGTATACCTAAGGAGGATAGGAAGAGGAGGTAGGTATTGGGATTTTTCTCAACTTTTGGAGATTATAAGTTCTTGGGAATACTCTATTTGGCAAAAAATTGCAAAGTTTTGACGTTCTATGTATGAACGAGGTTTGGTAAAGAGTTGTTCGACATATTTCGAGGTTGACGACAAAAAGGTGTTCTGACCGGGCTCCTCGAGTACGTCTGAGTGATGGAAATAAAATATTGAGATTGCTACATGATGATACCTACTCATATCGAGTGGAATTTATAGAAAATGATTAAATTATAGAGATGCTAGAAGTACCATATGACAATTTACCGCTCATTAGGTAGTAAGACAAGAATGGGGAAATATACTAGAGCAGATAATTGCAAGTGAACAATCCAGTTTTTTGACAATTTATTAGGACATTCCCTATTTATCCCTTGAATCTTTGGACTTATTTTTGTTTTCGATGATTTTTTCATTCAAATATGATTCTTATTTCTAGTTGTAACTCTATTGTTCATTTTACTCAAATGAGTATAGGTTTGTTGATTTCAGTTTCCTCCAACTTGCAAAAAGGAGTTCTTCTCGAAACTTACTTTTTGTGACATTCCCCCTTTTCCCCCTGTCATCTTCATTTTGATTCTCTATATTCTTACGGCCAAGATACTTTGCAGTAGAAAATTCTTAAGTTTTTTCGTCACCCTTCCAAATGTATCTCTTTTATCGAAGAACGTGAAAGTCTAAATTTCCATTCTCTTTAGATTCACATCCATATCACTAATCAATTCACGTCATTCATTGAAGAAAAATAGGTTCAACTCTGAAATATTACTGTTATGAAAATTGTGATATATCTTTTAAAAACAATAAGCATTAGGTTAGGGAGTAAGTGAATGAATGCCTTTTTCTATTTTCTTTCAGGCTGAGGTTGAACAATTCCAAGACTTCTCAATTCTTTTAACTTTTGAACAGAATTGGTACGCCCTTCAAGTCACGATTTCGAACCTGTATAGATGTAAGTTCCAGATCTTCAAACTTCCTAACTTCAAGTTTCTCGAGACCCTTCGATTTTTCGCATTTTCTTTTCACTGACCCCTCAGGACTAAACTGTGTACAACCCTAGAGTTGCATCTTCCTTATGGTATTGATAAAATTTCAAAACTTCTCGAAAATACCATACCTTTAGTAGGTACTGAGAAACTCATGGAAGATGAGAGTTGCTTGTTTATACCTGGTCGATTGATTTTTTGAGTCAATAACTTGTCTGTCGGGCTTCAGATCCAAACAGATTTAAATTTTTGTCACAATCTTAAATGGCATGGGAAAAATCCAAATTTTTCATTAGATTTCCAAACTTCCCGGAAAAACTTTTTGGACCAAATTCAGATTGGGAAAACAATAATTTGTCATCAGATTCTACCTACAGCTAATCGTTTTCTTGGAAATCCTGCAAAATTCCAAGAAGTTTTCTCTAGTCAATATGTTCTTTAGGTAAAAATATGCCCAGTTGGGCTCCACCATCTATTCAAGTCTGAGAATTTCTCTGTTAGTATTTGCTGGGATTGATGATTAAAAATGCATCTAGTATTATTCCTTCGTTTTTTGATGTCCAAACCACCAGATAGAGCAGAACCTTGTTAAATATATCATGCAAAGCGTACTTACCTTGAATTTCTAACACTGGACACTTCATGCTAAGAACTAAGATGGAATGGAGGAAGAGGAAACGGGAATAGGTATGACACAAAGCAAGGTTCGACAGCGACAGCGGAAAATAAAAATAGCAGTCAGGGTGCAAACATGAAAAAATGAGGGATGAATGTGATAAAAACGAGTTTGAGCTGAGAGCCCAATAAATATTGCAACTGAGTTGAACCCATCAATAATAAGGAGTATAATCCATTTCATCTTGTACTAATTTTTTGTATAGTGATCAAATGAATATCAAATGGTAAATCGGATAGTTTATGTTTTTCAAAGTCCCCATGTTTGCGGATTAGGCCTGATTGAATATGTTCAATTCGATCATCGAAATTTCAAAAAACTAGTCAATCTGTGAACCGTGCTTTGTATCTTCTCAAGTAAAACGGCAATTTTACACTATTCAGACTAAACATTTAAAGGTGTAGACTACTAATCACCCAAATATTTCGAATTTTCTAGCTCGATATATATTTTCAAGTGGCTAGCAGTTTATTTACATCACAGTTACGGCCACGCCCACAAGTCTAGGTCAAATAAACTGATCAACAATTGAAATATCAGGATGTTTTCAGTTATATTTCTCCAGTGGACCACATTTTGAACTGAATTTCACGATTCAGTATAGACTGAGTGTGGACCATGGCCGTAGCTTGATTTGAAACGACCCGAGAAATCAATGTTCGCAGAATAGTGTATGGCCTGTTTTTAATGAAACGTTAGTGTATTAGTTCAACTCAAATTTTATTGGGCACTCATGTATACATACAAGATCAGTGCAAAAAAACTAGTGAACATACATTCATGAGAGATGACATAGATTAGTTAGTTATATGAAATGAACGGAAACACATCGTTATATTATAATAGGTTCGAAAATTTAAACCTTCATAATTCATAATTTTCAATGAAGAATTAGAAAATGAAAGCGACAATGAATCATGATATGAGTTATCTACATAAAACTGTGTATTTTTATCATGTGAAAGCGAGTTTGAAATACTCTGCTAAGAAAACCATAATCACTACACGAAATAAAGAATAGTTTATATTAAATATACTGAGAAGCTGGAAGCATCTAGAAATATATTGACTACTCTTCAGTAACAATTACATAATCTTCAAATAATACAATGGATCATTATTGCCAGTTGGTATCAACAAATCTGTTCAAAAATTGGTGCTGTTCAATATCGTGTACTTTTTCTACAAAAATATTTGTACTATAGCCATGTATACCTACTAAGTTGAATGAATATCTGTAATATCAATATACAATTACTTTCAAATTGTCCCATTGAACTATGTTTTCTCGTATCATTTGAATAATTTTCATCTCAATATCTACGTCCTGAACATGATTCAATATCTCAAGTAATTGTGTTGATGATTTTATCAATATTAGTGAATACATGCGATAAAAAGTTTACGAAAAGCATGAGCAGATGATTCCCATATGAATGACTAGAATAAATTGACTAGATCAAAAAATATCGTACTTTATTGAAAAATACCAAATATAAAATTTCTCAAATATCATCAAAACCTGATCAACAAATATGTATATATTTTACAATTTTGACCTGTGACTTTTATGTACAGGGTATATTGGTTAGCCAACTAAAAAGATCGATGATTTATTTCTTGCGAGGGAAGACAATATTCATTCTCATCCATCTTTTTTAGAATGTACCACATATCCACTTCCTTCAGAAATATACCACTATGATTCAAAACCGTTGAGCAACTCGTAGCTACAGCTGCACTCATTAGAAACGATTGATTGGTGACCTCACAAATTATAACATGAACATATCTGATGTGTGAGTGTTACTGTACATTGTAATCGACCCAGCTTTTTCGCCAAATATTGCTTTAGAATGGCCTATTTGAGAGACTCATGATGGTGAACTACAGTATTAGGGTCTTCGTTATTAGGTAACTGTTAGCGTGGGTGATTAGATGGATTGAAGTGAGCACAACTGTACATCACCACGCGAAGATAGTAGGTCGGACCGAAGACTGAACGACGAGGTCAATCCGTTTCATCTGAGCATCGCCGTACCTACCTGTCATTCTCGGATCTACCAAATCAACGACCAACGTTTCTTTTTCGGTATGTGATTAACGGTGATCCTGCGCAACCTATCCAGAGGCACACCCTTGCGCGGTTTGAATAGATTTACCTGCAGTCCGACCTTGATCTTCTTGGTGAGTGCTCCTTCAGGGAAAACTGCTTGTACTTGAGGCACTACCGTGCTGGACACCATGCCGCCTTCTGGACCGATGGCATGGACTTCTTGGCGGACTCTGGATACTACGGCGAAGTACTGGGGGAAGTCCTGGGTGACTATCCTGGTGATCCTGCCTGTGGCTACGTCCTCCATCTGGTTCAGATCTGAAAAGAAATTTCTATCACTACGAACTACATTGTTTCTCTCGAATTTTCATTGATTATGTTCCTATTCTTCATTGCTTGAATCTTTATTCATTATTGGTTTGCATCTAGAAGAATCTAATCCCTCTAATGTTTGGAGAACATCTTGCGTACCTAGGGCAGACAAGCATAGTCGGTACCCGGTAAACACATTCGTTATATTCACATACATATGTCGTAAATTTTATATAACGAATATTCCAAAAAATGGCCATTCGTCTCGTGGGTGATGCCTCGATCACAGACTCACTCACTTCTCTGGAACACCGTAAAAAAGTTGGCGATCTGGCAATATTTTATGGATATTTCCATAGACGATGCTTTTCTGAAATATCAACAAATTCTCCTCCCTTGGCAGTCCCCGCGAGATTAACCCGTCGAGTTGAGGCTTCGCACCCCTTCGTGGTCAATTTGGAAACCTGTAGAAAATCTCTTCCCAAAGACTCGTTTATCCAACGAACAGCGAGGCTCTGGAAGACATTGCCTAGGGAGGTGTTCCCCGAGGCATATAACCTCCAGAAATGTAATAAGAACACCAATTCCTACCTTATTTCCCTCGGTTCTCACGATGTTCTCTGAACATTACAGGATATCCGTTCTAGTGGGAACCAGAACATGAAAAAAAACTCAGATTGACGTCAATGTACCGTAGAAGGTAGATACAAAACTTACATAATCCTATTTCCCTTGAATTTACAGCAATGTTCCATATAACAGTGATACCTCATTTACATAACATTCTTACGTATTAATCAAATATCTTCGTAGCTATGGTTATGTTAATAGAATATCTCGATAATTATGTCAATTCCACATCAATTTATTCACATTAAATTCATCTTCAACAAACGGACGTTCAACGGCCAATTTAACTGCTTTTTTTAAATTTACTCGACCGTTACTTGATTGAAATCCATTGAAAATGTTAAAACTCCACAAACGATAAGATTTCCACACAATTCTCAAACACGACATTTTTCGCTAACACAGTAGCTTCGTCAGGTGATATACTGGTACCAGAGATCGACGGTTAAAATTATATGCAATGATTTCAATTATCATTTTACAATTTATTCAATCTGGTTCACAAAAAGTCGTCTTGAGAAGGTCCCGGACATTCAGACCTAAATCGAATCTAAAATGGACGTCCCCAGAACGTCGAGTGCTATACGGGTAGCACTGACCACATTTTGATATATCAATTTAAAGAATGAAGGAATCAGTCATAACACTTTTCTCTGATTGCAGTGTTTTTTTTATATTTTTCCTTGGTTTTTGAAGATAATTGATAACTCTAACTATTATCCTGCAGAATATAAAAATACCCAACTTGTACGAGATGGTAAATAACTTGCAGTTGATCGGTTTCAATTCTGGTACCTGGTGCACACTTTTTAGAAATGATGGGTGGAATCCCATCATGGATTTGCATCTAGAAAATATCATCCACCATGCTCCCATTCTAACTTTAATGCTCGAATTTTCATTTATTATGGATTTGCATAAAGAAAAAGTTGTACATTTCGTTTGATATTGCATATCAATTCGAGTTTTTGATGTTATAATCATGGTCATACCTTCAGCATCGAAGCTGTCATGGAGCACTTCATTTAGGACTTCTTCGACGGAATCTACAGTGTGTTCTTTCCATGATTCGCCGTTATCCGATCTGAGTATAACAATTTCTCTTTCTTTCCCTCGCAGGGCTGCGAAATGGGGAACTTCGATGATAACTGGCCTGAAAAAAAACAGCAGGAAAAAAATTATTCCAAGAGAATTATTGGTATCTGCTCCTCATGTCAGGTTAGTGAAAACTGATAACTCTCTATAATAGAGCACATTAACTAAACTATTGTGCACTTTTTGATGAAGGCAGCAAATTTGGCACACGGGTACATTGGCCAACTGCCTCCTGTTGCTGTGCGTGGTTATTTTCCAAAATGGCGCCCCGAAAGATATCAGAAGTTAGAAAAAAAATGCTGCTGAAGGTATGTGAATGTTCATCGAATATTCCGAATGAAATTATATTTTTTCATAAGTTATATATCGGTTGTCCACGAAATGATTTTCAACCTATTTCGACTCCTAATATTATTATCCGGAAATTGGGATGGCTCCATGGTTGTTGGCGAGCACTGTATATCACTGAAGATGACCTCACTTAATCATAGAGTTCATTTTTGGTATATCTCTCGCTCCCAGCAAATTTCAGGATCCTTACCCAACGATAACGTAAGATACAGGGGTATTTCTATTAGAAGTGGGTCACACTGTATGTGAAAAAATACAAGGTGCACCATTTTAAAGAATCATCAATCTTGTAGCTCCGCGTTTGAGAACACCTTGTAGAGATCAAACTATTTTTCCTTCGTAGACTTAACAATATTGTACAACATCCCCAGGAAGGTTTTTTCTATCTCTTAATGGAATGGAACCATAGAGCTTTTCCATACTAGGTGGACACCAGATAAATAACTTATAAACGGTATGATTTCATTCGAAACATTCGATGAACATTGACAAAAAATCCTCTGCAGCAAATTTCAACCAACTGCTGGATGTCTTTCGACCAGCCATTTTGGAAAATGGCCATCATGCCGCAAGGGGCAGTTTTCTGATGGCAGCACATCCAAATCTGTTCATAATATATCGGTGTACCTGATGTGTGCCAGATTTCGTACCTTTATCAAAAAGTAGACAATTAATTGGAATATTCTAGCTTAACTGTTTCGATATACGCTATTTTAGATTCATTGGATTTTTCATAGGGTTCGACAGAAAATTCGGTTTTAAATAATTCATGTATTTACTTGGTACATCATGAATTTTCAACCTGTAACATTCTTCTTTATAGGGATATTTGAAAATTTCTAGAGCCAGTTGGTGTTGCTTTTCCTTTTTTCCTCAGTTTCTCTTTCATTGAAAGTACACAGAACTAAGTTTCACCAACTGGTTCATGACAATTTCAAATATTTCCATAACATGAAAGTTACAGGGGTGAATTCTTGGTGGATCCGTGGATCACTCGAAAATTTGGATTTTTCTGTTTTTTTTTTCCGTTATAGATCATGCAGTGCTTCTTCAGGATTAACACATACATACAGAAAAATAATTCCAATAGATTTGTCCTCGATGCAAACATTTTCTAGTACCCCGTATAAAAAAATCCACCTTTGAGGTGTAATATTCTCATGGTGTTTGTTGATAACAACATCAAGATAGAACAGTCACAACATCATTGTTCAGTATCCAATTAAAATATGTGAATGAATGCATGTCTATAAATAAGGATCAAGGCTCATCCGATTACATCATCTTGCTCATTCGGTATGTCTCATTTAGCAGCGCATTTTCGTTGAAAATTTCAGGAATTCCAACAACAATATACGAGGTGATTAAGGAATCGACTACTCATATATAAGATATTATCAGTATATACAGTGTGTTCCGCTTTTCATGAATACACCCTGATGTTTGAACGATGAAGTATTTAGAACAGTGAACAGTTTCATTCACAGTTGGCGTGCAATGTTGAGGAGTACAAAAAGGGCCATTATTCGGAAAATAGATATTAGGGCTTATGTTGAATAGCTGTGTTCATAAAATTTAGAATCGGCATCCCCAAAAACCCCCCAATTCATATTTTCAAAATCTCAAGAAGAATTCCAAATCCCGCTTTTACTACGATTTTCTCGAAACTGTAATGGTGATTGTATGATATCTTTTTAACATACAATCACTATCAGAATTTCAAGAAAATTGCATAGTTGATATCTGAGATTTAAGGGTGCTATCATGTAAAGCAGGATTTTGAAATATTCTATTTTAGCTCTTGGGATCTTGAAAATAGGAAAATATATCTTTCCCAAATAAAGGCCTATTTGTACCACTCAACATTGCACGCCAATGGTGAATGAAACTGTTCATTTTGCTAAAAACTTCCTTATTCTAACATACAATCACTACTAAAATTTCAAGAGAATCTCACCGTTAATAACTGAGATATCAGGGTGTATTTATGAAAAGCGGGACACACTATGTATATATATTTGGGTGTGCCTGAAGCCGAGTCATCAATGTTCATATAATTCGATCGTATGTACTCCTCTTATCCAGCAAATCCGTCATCATCCGGCCTCTATACATGCGTAGAGATAAAGAGCCTGATATTTCTCACACACACTTGTTTCTCCTACCGTGGTCAAAAGTCGAATCCATTTCTTTTAATTGTATTCGACGATGAATATATCTACTTATTGCTTGATAGAAACATCGACTTTGCATCGAACACAACAAAAATTTGAAGCGGAAATTATTTTTTTCTGAAGAAAATCATTCATTTTTGTCGGTAATAATTGGTTGGGAGTTATTAGCATGATAAAGCTATAACTAGAATGAAATTGTTTTGTCGGTTTCAATTTTTTTCGATAATACAGACGTGATGTATACCCTCGAGCATGTACCGACCCTCGGTTGACGCCATCGCGGGCCGTCGTTCGAGTGTCCAGGATCGTACTCACCCCAGAAATTTGGCCCCCACGGGACCCAACTCGAGCACCCGGCTTGCCAGTGCCTCCCCCTCCATCAGGGGAGGCGGATGGGGGGTTCTCTGCGGCCTCACGTACCGACACGTGATGCGCGTGGGACTGGGAGCGCACCGGGGAGGCACTATAACGCGCACGCCCGAGTGCCGGCATCCACGCATTGCTCCGCCTCTGGCGTCCACCAAAAAGGACACTAGGAAGCTGGAAGAGATGATCAAAGTGGTTAGTAATGAGTTCAAAGACTTTTCGGAAGATTTGGCAACATTGTTTTTCTGGGCGATATGCACTGAGAGAAACTGGATATTAAAAATATCTACCAGCTCTGATTGTGATAACCATCATAAAGAAATCTCCTATTCCTGATCATTGTATTCTGTAATCATTAAAATCGGTTTCTTAAACCATTTGTAATACCCTTGAATGGACATTTGCTACCATCATAACGCAGGTGTGTTATGACATTATGAGAATTTCATAAATTCTAGTCTATTTAGATTTTTAATTGACATAGCTCGTTTAGTGAATTATGCTTATTGGAGAATTCGGATAATGTTTGTCCCAATAATCATAGCTGTTTGGGTTTCTAGCATTGTACGTTGACGAATAACTATAGCAATTCACATGTATTACGGTTATTCGACAATCGTAATTCGGCTCATCATTTTGCTCTAGTTTTTCATCAGTTTTGGGGCTGACAAAGCTACAGATCTCGTTTATTTTCACTTCTGTTCTGTGTCATGGGTGCCCGTGTTCAATTATTGTTCAATGGTTTCAATCGTTCGAATCGATATAGCCGTGTCCCCGTGTCTTGTGGGTCAAGGTCACTAGGAAACTGGAAGAGATGTTCAAGGTGTTTAGCAATGAGTTCAAAGACTTTTTGGAAGATTTGGCAACATTGTTTTCTTGGACTATATGATGCGCAAGACCGTGTGTCGGCAGCCACGCATCGCTCCGCCTCTGGCGTCCACCAAGAAGGACACTAGGAAATATATTTCAACGAAAGTTTCTTAGGGTAATTTGGTGATATTTTTTTATATTCTGGTTCCCACGAAAAGGAATATCCTGTAATGTTCAGAGAACATCGTGAAAACCAAGGGGAATAAAGTAGGAATTGGTGTTCTCCTTGAATTTCTAGAGGTTATATGCCTCAGGGAATACCTCCCTTGGCAATGTGTTCCAGAGCCTTGCTGTTCGTTGGATAAACGAGTATTTGGAAAGAGATGTTCTGCAGGTCTACAAAGTGACCACGAACGGTTGCGAAGCCTCAACTCGACGGGTTAATCTCGCGAGGACTGCCAAGGAAAGAACAAATTGTTGATATTTCAGAAAAACGTCGTCCATGGAAATGTCTATAAAATAGAGCCAGATCGCCAACTTTTCTACGGTGTTCCAGAGAAGAGAGTGAGTTTTTGAGCGAGGCATCACCCACGAGACGAATTGCCCTTTTTTGGACAGAATCCAACAGTTTCAGGGTATGTTTGGGTGCTGCACTCGAAATATGGGAACAGCATTCCAGGACAGGTCGGATCTGTGCCTCATAGATCATAAGCAGCTGACTGGAAGTGAAATAGCTCCTGGCCCGAAACAGAGAACCAAGTTTTTGGGATGCACTATTAGTAATTAAGGTCACGTGATTTTCCCAAAAAAGGCTATTGCTGATAGTAATACCAAGCATCGAAATGGATGTCTTCAAAGGTATGGTTACTACTGACAAGCTTATGTTGGGCACATTGAGATCGGCTTTTCTTGAGAAGAGGCTTACTTGTGTTTTGTGTGTGTATTATTGGATCCCCATTCGAGAATTGTTGCCAAGTCCATATTTATGTTGTCAACATTTCTCCCTCGTTCGATTCTGATTTGCCTGGCTGGTAACTTGAAACCAGTCACAAAATGTTGTTATTTTTCTTGTTAGCAATGAATAATACCAAGTATATGCTAGCTATTCTTGTATCCCAAATTGAATGCCGCGTTATTTCCAATGGCAATATACAGGGAGTGCCATTTGAAAATGAAAAGTGATTGGTAGCTTCCAGAGAACTGTCAAACTTGATAAATCTTTTTCATTTTATATGTCATTAGGAAGGTACTTCGATGCCATTCAATCAAGTTTTGAATTTTTACACATTCATCTTGACAAATAGATAGATAGATTTTATTGAAGTTATCAATTTAGGACAGTTGAAAAACTAAAGTCATAGGTACCTACTAATAGAAATTACAAACAAAGATGATATCAAATATGAGAAAGTATCTAAAAGTTAACTAGCTAAAACAAAATGAGATGAAATTTCAGTAGAAATATCACGAAATGTGAATATAACAGAAAAACAAAAACACAAAAATCATAAAAATCTGATACGAAAAATTATGATTCCAAGAATTCCTGTAAAAGATCAAAAATTTGTTTTTTGAAGGTTTCTTTTGTTTTAGCGAGATATTGATATTTTTTGTTCAAACGAGATATTGTCTGAATACGATAACTTGGGACACCCGGAATCTTGAGTGCCTACTACAGGTCTTTGGAAACTGTTTTATGAGGAAATGTTTTCTATTTCTTGACAAAGAGCTTATACCCTTGAATTTTTCCATGATATTCACCTATCACTCCGCATGATGAACCTACCTCTGAAAAAACTAACTTTTCACTTTCCCCGTATGAATTTGTATTGCCTATATTCAATATTGATCCTGAGCTATACGTAGTGTATATAGTCAAGTTTTATAGTCACTGGTCATTGGTACTCAACACTCGATTATAGCACTGCACTGAGACATTTCAACTAACATTAGAGGATATCACAAGGAAACTGAGAATATGGTACGTAAAAATCTCTAATGTGTTTACAGCATTGGTAATTAGGTGTGCTGAGATATTGAATCATCGTTCGAAAATGAAGGTTGCCATCATTGTTGAGTCGGAATTCACGGTCGAATACAAATCAAGTTAGTTCAATTTACTTCCGAAATTGGACGTCGTATTTAATTTTTTTCCACCATCGTAGCTATAGAACCTATCATTATTTATTTCTTTTCAATGCGTAAAAACTTCACAAACGATAAGATTTCCTCAAAATTCTCAAACACACGACCTGTTTCGCTAACACAGTAGCTTCGTCAGGTGATATACTGGTACAATGAACTAAACCAACTTTGGCTTGCTTAACTTTTATATATCTTACTTTCTCAACCTGAAGGATTAGTTACCTGTGGACAGGTACGATAAACCTCAATTTTCGGAAATCAGGCACAATATCTACATATTATTACTTACTAAGAAAACAAATTCAACAATGAGGTCTAATTGATCATTAAGTAAAATGTCAAAATTTTTGAGTTTGATGATTTCTAATGATTCAAAATGATTGAGTTTCAGTCCTTTATTTTCTACGTGTAGAATTTCGAAATTATCATCAAAACTATGGTTTTCTTCTTATATATGGTTGGCGTATGTTGAATTTGTTTTCTTTTTCATAAAATTCATCTTATGTTCATGAATGCGCTGATCAAACGTACTACCTGTCTGACCGATATATACCCTAGGACAAGATCCACATTTGAGTTTGAATACCCCTGATTTTTCGAATACAGAAGTTTTGTCTTTATTATCCTTGATAAACCGTCCCAACGTGTTATTTGTTCTATATGCCACTGTTAAGTCCTGTTTATGTAGAAATTAGCTTCATTTTGGAAAGTTGAAAAGTTTTCAGAATGTCGCCCTGTATATTGCTAGTGGTGAAAAAATTGAATATACACCTTGGTAATAAAGAATATTATACTGTGGTTACCCTCATACCCCTCGACTGAAGCCACACTGTATAATTTTGGTCCCTATACATAATAATAATATTTCATCAAAACTTCATCAAAGTGGTAGAACTTTTTTCAAAGAAACCGACTTGATATTGTTTGTTTTTTCATTGGATGATAATATTCATGACTATGCCTTGGGTGTATAAAAAACAATTTCAGATTATCGAGGAAATATAGGAGCATTTTTGTACACACTGTTGTTGATTTATAGGAATAATCATCCAGGTTATCATTCCTGCAGCATTATGAATATTGAAATTTATGCAAATCTTGTTCAATGAAAATGAACATGAAGGTGCAAGCAACTATTCTAAAGCTTGTGCTTTGTAATGATTCATAATGAATTCTTCACCAATCGTATCATTGATTTCTCTGAAATGTGAGTAGTTCTTGATTATTTCATTTATCAATTATTCAATCCATATGTCATCGATCAGAATGACTATCAAAACTATAATCTCAATCAATTCTCTAATGGTTCTTCAAGGCAATTCGTCAGAACATATTCCATATTCGATCTTAAAGTGTATTTCAATGGGACAGTACGGAGCAGTTATTCAATTGAATGTAAACAAGCGTAAAACATCATATCGTACTTCATAGAAATGATAATTTATTATAACTGTATTTCATCAGAATGGTGTTTCATAAGAATCGTATTCTGACGGAACGGTAATATCACCGTAAAGCATTATGATATCCAATAATCAGAACCATACTTTGACAGAATTGTATTTTGTCAGTTTCCCATTCTGATGATGATGATGTTTTTTTGTAAAGAAGAATTACGGTTCTGATTGCTGGCTCGATGAAAAACATTCCTTTACAATGAGATTTTGACGAAATACCATTCTGATGGTTTACTGTTGCTAGAAAATGAGGTTCTGTTGGATTACCATTTTCAAATCATACGGTTCTGATAGGATACCCCCTCGACAGAATGAGATTATGATGAATTACCGTTGCGATGGAATACGGTTCTGATAAATTACATTTAATATGTCCTCGTCCAGAGACAAATAGAGTGATAGAGAATTCATCAGAGCAATTTGGTCCAGATAGAATATCCAGAAACTTGCTTTGTAGCAGGATAGATGTCAAAAATGACACTTCTGGACTTCCTACATCTACCAACTCATATGATAGGTGCCCGAACGCGAATAAAAACTTACTTTTTCCAGTGAAGTTTCCTGTAGCGTGAAATAAAGAAAAGCTGTATTAGTATACACACGGAAAACCATTAGTTAATGATAAATGTTTGATATTATACAGGATGTCACAATAGGAAAATATTTTCTCCAAACTGTTGTCTGAAGAGCTTTATCAAGTTCTGGATAAACAAAAACTTTTTTCAATCCTTTGAATGGAGGGACTCATGCAACTTCGTTATCCTTTGGAACTAGGACAAAAATATGCATTCGGAATCCTCGGGGGGTCAAGTAGCAAAATTCAGTAACAATGATTGCGGACAGAATGAAAAATAATTTTTCAAAAAAAAAAATATTTCTCTGTTATCTACGACTCCTTGTGAATAGCCTTGACCACATCTGATTTAACCACGAAGGAAAAAAAAACACTTATTATTTGAAATTGTTCAAGAAAATTACATTTGACATAGAGATTGCACTCGTTTTGACCTGTTGAACTTGAATATATGAGAAATATACAGGATGTTTCATTCGAAAAAACAAAGTTGCTTTCATTTCCAGAACAACTGAAAGTCTGCCATATGGATTGTAATATGATCAAATCCGAAATAGTTGCTTATACAGCTGTACGAAATTCCAGAAAAATCCGTTAACAAATGCAGAAGTTACAGCATATTCTGTGTCAACCGGTATAATGTCGGAAAAACTAACCATCTTCGAAATTTGTGTCCTTTAAAAATTCGATTGTTTCATGAACATACGAGTATTCACTGTTTCCCAACAGTCATCCATCTCATATTCTAGTGTAGGTTCCTTCGATGAGGGCAAGCATATCTTCTTGACTTCATATTTCCCCTTATAGTGAAAAAAAACCTGCTCCTTCACTGACACACACATCATGCTTTACCAAAACTCACCCAATATTGATCGGATGTCTGGCGATGTCCACATTGTCTGGCGCGTACTTCTTGATGTACTCCGTATAATTCTGGTGCACGTGCTCGGGGCTGATGCTATCTTCTATATGCTGCGGAGGCAGCATATTGCTATCCCCGCTTGTCGCCATTCTGTTCGAGTCTATCCTCTCGTCCCTCGTGACGTCTATAGGCAGGGAATCGTCCCCCAAAGACTTCATTTCGTCAGCTGTGAGGTACCTGTAGGTTTGGTCGCCCAGGACAGTGTCTTCGCCTGGAAGAGAACGAGGGGTTCAGGTCTGGGCGGTTTGGTGGTCGATGCGGTCGGTTCGAGATTGGTACGTTTAGGATGAAGAGTGAGTGGCTTGAGAGCGTATCTTGGGTACTTGAAGTGATTTCGTGTATTCTAACTGAGTGATAAGGTCAACAATGCAATAAGGTGGTGATAGTCTTGTTTAATTGATGAGACTTTTTTGGAGAACATTGATTTTGCTTCTATTGTGACTTGGTGAATCAATCTTTTCTTGTTAAATCTTTGTAATTCTGAATAGAAACCTAGTTAGTAGGCCAAAGGTATGAGATTGTGTGTTCATTAACCTCAAATTTGCCTGCCCGTCAATGGTGCTAGTTTACTGAAAACATCGGGAGCTCATTTTTTCCAATAGGGTATTAGAAGAAGTGGATAATTTTGAGTTGAAGTCTTCAAAACGTCATCTCAGACTAATTCCTACAAGAGGAGGAAGTGTGTGAAATCTTCAACATTCCTTTCTCATCGATGACGTGAATTTGAGGCAATATTGAATTAGAAGTAATTGCTTCTAACACCATCAGATGAGAGTATCTTCTTGGGCCACATAGGTATCATTCATTTTATAATATTGAATTGATATTCCAGGATTATGTAGTACCTAATTATTAACAATATAAAAGTGAATGAGCAGTTTCTACATTTTATTTTCAGTCTGCTTCCCACCATTTCAATGAAGTGCGAGCAGTAATGTTTTATCACAGCACTGCTTTCCTTATTTGTATAAGTACTTGAAACGTTCACTAAGAGGTCACTAGCTCAGCAAAAATGTGGTCAATAAGGTCGTTTTTTCAATGAACAAACAATATTATACCTCTTCAATTTAGAAAGACAATGGTTGAATGAAGAAAAAGATATCAGTAAATTTCATGAATGAAAAAGATTCATAAAAAATAGTTGGATACCCACAATAAGTATGTGTAACTGTTGATGAGATTGAACTCTCACTGATTCATCTCTATACGAACCAACCAATTTTGTTTCAGGAATAAAAGAAGCGTGTTAGCCAGCAAAATAAAGTATAAATCGCATTCAGAGGGACTTATGCAAAATCCATACGAATCTACAGAAAAATCACAACTCATCCCCAAGAAATAGATTTTCAAGTTTGTCCACGAATTAGTTTACTCTTGAAGTATACCAAGTGACATGTCTTAACTCCTAACTCTAATTCTTGTATCAAAACATGTGAAAACTTTACATTCACTATAGCCATGGAACATACAAGATGTCTTACTATACCTGTTCAAATGGAGTATCTGATTCATTCTCAAAGATAAAATTTAAAAATACAAAAATACCTTCCATTTGAGCTGAATAAAATTTGGAAATCACTTCCGGTTTACCCATTAAAATTTCTCATTTCTTTTTTCATTTCAAAATCTTATATGGATTCGCTTTAGATTAATACAGCTAACAGTTGGCGTAGATTTCAAAGTGTTTTGGCTTTCATCAATGAAGATTGATTTTCAATTTTTTTCTTCCGAGGTCACTTCATGGTATCTGTTTTTTTTTTGTTTCGCTGTGAAGAACTATATGCTTGCATATTCACTAAGGAGATAATAAACTTGTAGTATTTGCAGTGACCTTGTGAACTATTGGGAGAGTTGGATTTTTCTATGTATACAAGGTGGTCTACGAGCTCTTGGCCAGCCAATATCTCGAAAACTTTTTAGGATTTCCGACTATTTCCCAATCATAAATGGTAACTCGAGGGGTAACTCTTGGTCAGAATTGTGTACACCAAACTTCAAGGAATTCCAAGGAATTTCAAGGAAGTCGGTTGTTTGTATGTACACCAGAATTATACTGCACTTCACACAAGGAATTTTAAGGCACTCAAAGGAATTCCAGGGAATTTCAAGGAAATCAAAACAATTCCAAGGTATTCCAAGAAAATCCAAGAATTTCCAAGTTAATCCAAGAAATTCCAAGAAATTCCAAGAAATTCCAAGAAATTCCAAGTGAATCCAAGGAATTCCAACGAAATTCAAGGAATACGAAAGGGTTCCTCGGAACTTCAAGGAGTTCCAAGGAAATCCAAAGAATTCCAGTTATTTGTACATCAGAATTATACCACACTTCGTTCAAAAAATTCCGAAGAATCTAAGGAGTACCAAGGAAATCCAAGAAATTTCAAGGGTTTCCAAAGAAATCCAAGGAAATCAGAGGAATTTCAGGGAATTCCAACGAAATCCAAGGAATTCCATAAGTTCAAGAAAATCCAAGGATTCCCAAGGGAATCTAGGATATCCCAGGAGATTTCAAGGAATTTTTAGGAATTCAGTTGTTTGTACACTAGAATTATATCGGATTCCACACAAGGAATTCCAAGAAACTCTAAGGAATTTCAGGGAATTTCAAGGGAATCTAGGAAATTCCAAAAAAATCCAAGGGATTCCAAGTAAATTCAAGGAAATTCAAGGAATGCCGAAGGATTCCAAGGGAATCCAAAGGAATCCAAGAAATTCTAAGGAAACCCAAGCATTTCACAGAAAATCCAAGCAATTCCAAAACAGTCCAAGGAAATCCAAAGAATTCCAGTTGTTTCTACATCAGAATAATACCGCACTCCATCCAAAGAATCCCAAGGAAATCTAAAGAATTTCGAGGAAATCCAAGGGATTCCAAGAAATTTCAAGAAAATCCAGGGAAATCAGAGGAATTCCAGAACATTCCAGTAGTTTTTAGACCAGGAATATATCGCACTTCAACCAAGGAATTCCAGTAAATTTCAAGGAATTCCGAGGGAATCTAGGATATTCCAGGCAATTCCAAGGAATTTCAAGAAACGCAGTTGTTTCTACACCAGAATTATACTGCACCCCAAAAGGAATTCCAAGAAAAACCGAGGAATTTCAGGGAATTTCAAGGGAATCCAAGGAATTCCAAGGAAATCCAAACAATTCCAAGTGAATCCGAGGAATTTCAAGGAAATCCGAGGAATGCCAAAGGATTTCAAGGAAACCCAAGGAATTTCAATGAAATCCAGGGAATTCTAAGGAAACCCAAGCAGTTCAAAAGAAATCCAAGCAATTCCAAGACAATCCAAGGAAATCCAAAGAATTCCAGTTTGTACATCAGAATTTTACCGCAATTCATTCAGAGAATCCCAAGGAAATCCAAGGAATTCCAGGGAATCACAAGGAAATCCAAGAAATTTCAAGGGAATCCCGGAAATTCCAGGAAATTTCAAGGAATTGGAGTGTTCATCAGAATTTCACTGTGGTTTACCCCTAGTAGGAACTGATGAAGATGTCAATCCAATTTCCCTCGAGAGTGAAGACTTGTCTTTGACTATTATATTGAATGAAGCTGTCACTATGATTGATTGCTAATAATCAGCTGAGATTCATGATCATTTTGAAAGCGTATGTGTCTTCAACTGTGCAACAGTAGTTTCCGAGATATAAACTGGTCAAAACTTCGTGAGGGGCAAAAGTGGTGTTTGGGTCAGTGTTTCATATCGGGATGGTCATTCTCTTTTATTTCAACGAAATATCCAAACTTACGATTGATAATGGAGGTGCCGCAGTAAAATGGCAGATAGACGTGCCTTTCGTGCAGTTGAGCTATACCGAAGCCCTCCAAAATATCTTCCCCTGTTGTTGAGGATTAGTACAGTTTAGTTGTGTTTCGAGATTCGGATTCAGATCACATTAAGCACGATAAGCTCCAAGCAGTTTTTTTTCTAATGTTCGTGCGATGAAAAGGTTTTTCGTTCGCTGTTCTAATTTTCCGAAAAAAGTTGCTAGATTGTCTATACCTACTACACGCGAGAGAAGTCTTCCTTATACTTTGTTCTATTTTCTATATATATTTCTACCTAACAACTTGCGAAATTATCATCAGAACTAAATATATATAAACTGCTCAACACATGAAACGTAAAATCGCATTTTTTCGATCAAATTTTGAATCATCATAACTTTCCATTTTCAATTATTTTTGAGTTTCTGAAAGTTCGTTTCATTGACTATCGAACCTATGCTTTAATGGGACGCCTGGTTTGGCCTATATGTGTTTCATAACAAACAATTTCATTAGGTCAAAGGAATTTTTCAAACTGAATTCTAGCTAATAATCACCGTAGTTTGTAATTAACGTTATTAGTTTGTTGTTTTTCTGATAGTTCGACTGATATATTGTTATGAATCAAACAACATTTTGTCTGCTGTGTATTTTTCAGCAAACTGTTACATCTAAACTTACGTGAACTATATCTACAACAAACACCAGACGTTTTTCGAAGCCACTTGACCCATTTCTATGACGAAAGCACCAATAAAAGGAAAATCTGTTTCACATCAAACAAAATCGAGTAGATTTTCGTGTATATCGCACCGAGACTAAGGATTCAATTTTGTTCGAACTAATAGAAAATTATACCGAGATTTTGTACGACGCGGCAAGTGATGTGCTGGAAATTTACATTTTCAGCATATCTATTTACATTTAAAATAATTTCAAGGCGCTCAATATCTTCGAGCTGATGTCATGTCATTGCAAAATTTAATTATTATTGGCGATAAACAAGGTTGTAATTCTGTGTGTATATACGAAAATCTGGCAAATTTTTGCTCTAGTATCTTTAGTTTCCAGGTTCATTGCGTTGAAAGTACTCAAAATTAATGGAGCCATATATTAGTTATTACAACAAATATACTCTCTCAAATAACTGAGCATTTTTGTAGTTCTTGTCACACCTTGTATATCAATTGCGAAATCCAACCTTTATTCGTATATGTACAGGGTGGCACAACGAAAATGTTACATCCCGATTAGAGTATAAAATTGGAGAAGTATTTATACAGGATGTTTCGAAAAAAACTAACTCCCTTGCTAGGGTAGGTAAAACATTGCAAAATAAGTTGGGTTTGCTCAGTAAAAAAATGTCGTAACGCCATCCGTTTTCAAGATACAAGGTGTTGAAACTATATTTTTTTACACATTTTCTACGATTATGT